ACGGCTGCTTTGTGCAAACATCCCTGCAGTGGCTCCTGGGCCCTTGGACTGATTTGCAGACTCAGCCTCTTGAGACAGAAGTTGCAATGCTGCATTTGAGCAGCGCTGGAAGAGTCCACCACAGCCTTGCTCAGTGTTCTGGGGCCCTTCCCAGCATGGTCCAAGCTGTGGGTGAAGGGGAGGATGGGCACAGATCCCCCTCACCTGCTGCAGGCTGAGCTCCCAGAGCTGACACAGATTTTCCCCAGTGGCTGGCACTGCTATGGCAGCATTTTTCCCTTGTAACTTCAGGGGCTCTCTGAGGACTAATCCACAGCTTTTAATTTCTTGTCATGGCTTGCTGCATTTTCTCTCAGTAAAGGTTTTCAAACGATCTCGTGAAGTCATGGTTTTGGCACACACCAGCTGCTGGTTTTGGCTGTGATGCTGCTGGGAGGGTTAGCTGAGGTCACAGAGAGCCCTGCTCGAGTTTTCTGCTCGGCAAACTGGTGTAGCCTGAAGGATCCCAGGCTGTGAATGTTCCCAAAAGACTCCTTACCCTGGGAATGGGATTGTTTCGATCATTTCCCATGGCTGGATGTGGTCACAGGGCAAGGGATCAGTTTTGAGCTTGATGGTGTTGCTCTTGGTTTTGCTGGGAGGCCTCTTGGATTTGGGTTTCTTTCAGCTCAGGAGCATCTCTGCTTTGCCTCKTTGTTGTTACTGTTAAATTTTTGTTTCTTTGTGATTTCTTCATTCCTTCATCTGTGTGCCAGAGGCTGAGGTTTGTGCTGCTTTCATGGTTATTGTGGAAAATCAGAGATATTCAATTAAATATTAGGAGTTGGCATCTTTCCACAAAAAAAAACCAACTTTCTGCCAAACATCTCTCATTACCTGCACTGCAGGGTTGTCCTTGGAGGACGTTGAGGGCTATCAAACCTGTGAAGCAAGTGCCAAATTCTGGCCTTCCTGGAAATGCCACTCTATAAGACATTTTCCAGCTGTTTCTGAGTGCAGCCAGAGGGATCYCAGGGAAGAGGAGCTGCTCTTRTGAAAACCTTWCCCCTRTGTGTGCAGAGGGCARTGTCTGTGTTATYTGGGCACTCAGCTTTACCCCTCTGCTGCACATGGTCAGGACAGGGCTATGGGCTCCAGATACTCATTTCAGGGATAAAGGCTGAGCTTGTAATTGAGTTCTTCAGAAATCTTGAGCTCTTTGCTTTGCTAGAAGTGCCACCAGACAGCAGAGGCAGCTTGAGATGGGCTGCCAGATGCAGAGAAATGTCAGTGCTGCCCAAGGCAGGGAGGGAGMAGGATTCATGGGTTCTGGGGCCTTTGGGAGGTCATTGGAGTATTTCGGGTTTTCCTGCCCACTGGGCAACACAAACTGAAAATTCATCCTTTTCTGTGTCAGTGCAATAATTTCTGGTGAATTCAGATAGTGTTTGAGAGGCTTTGCTATTCATTTTAGTGGAAACAGGCTTCCAAAGTTTCATTCTGTCATTTTATATACCTCTTACAGTAAAGCAGGCAACTCTTCCAGTGCAGAACATCCGCGCTGTCTCTGCTGGAGCCATCATCCTGCTTTTCAGCCCAAATAAATGCTGGAGCCTCTTCCCAGAGAAACACACCCCCTTCAGCAGGCTGTGACTGACCTGCCCTCTCCAAAATTCACCAGGAGGTTTTGTGTTAGGGAGGAGCAGGCTGTGGCCAGCCTGTGGTTTGCTGTCACAGCCCCTGGGTGCAGAGGAGTGTTCACATCCACCCTGCCAGGGTGCAGCGCTGCCCAGGGCACAGGGCTGTGTTTCACGTGCCACGTGGCAACATTTCAGTGCCATTCCCATTTCCTGGCACTTTAGTGAGCTCTCAGCACAGTRTACAGGGCGTTTATCAGGGTTGTGRGTTAATGATGAGGGACTGACTGTCCTTTGGAATGATTTAATGAAATCACAGAATTGGTTGGGGTGAAAGGCACTTTAAAAACCATCTGGCTCCAAGCTCCCACCRTGGGCAGGGACATCTTCCACTGGACCAGGCTGCTCAGAGCCCCATCCAGCCTAGCCTGAACCCTTCCAGRGATGAGGCATCCATCCTCTCACCACCCTGTTCCACATTTTTGCTGAAGCAGACCAGTGTGAGTGTGACTGCCATGAAAGAGGTTCCTCTTCACCTTGTGTTGATACTCTTGGTGGAGTGCATGGCTTGAAATTCACTTCCAAGATCCTGCTAGCCTGCCTTAGGTGCTTCCAGGACCTGGGAAACAGGCTTAGAGAAGCCTTTCCACAGTGATTTATGCTGCTGTGGGATCACTTCATCCCTTTTTGCTTCACAGCCCAGTTTTTGCAGAGGCAGCAGGGTTGAGCACAGGTCAGCTCAGTGGTGTTGGAGCAAGGAGTAATTCAGAGGGGTTTTGTGGGAGCCTGGCATCAGTTTCAGCATCCAGCCAGGGGAATGGATGAATTGGAATCCTTCACCCTCCTCCTGCCTCCTTTAGGCACCCACTGTGGGGTGGTTGGTACCTCGAGTTACCCGCCTGAGGTTTCCCAATCTCTGGGTCCAATGGACAAACCAAACCTGGCAGCTCAAATTTGAACAATTTTGGGTGTTGTTTTACTTTCTTAGACCTCAAAACAGCCCACCACCCTAAGGGATGACCTTYGCCTAATCCTCATTGTCCCAACAAAAGGGTGTTTTAAGCAGCCAGGAATGAATTTATGTTGGCTCTTGACTTGTTGCATTGGATGCCTTCACTTGGTGTAGTTTTGGCATGACCTGGAATAAATCAAGCAAATAGGAATGCAAACACACTTTTATATCCCAGGGCTCTGAACTGGTCTGGAAATGGGCATATTGGGTTCAGGTTTTGGTCTTATATGGTTGGGCATGAAGGGAACCCAAGCAAAGYGTGTTGCCAGTCCTTTTCAGAGTTTATTTACTTTAATGATTATTTTTTCCCTTTCCACATTTAACAGAAGGTTTCTGGTKTAATGGAGGTGGCGATAGGGCTGGAGCCAGGAGACGTGTGATGTATTCCCAGATCTTTTCTCCATTTTTTTCTTGTCTTTTTGGACTATTTTGGTCTCTACCACTCCCARCACCAGCGAGCTCTGCTCTTGTTTGAGCTTTTTAGGTGTTCCAGCCATGCAAATTAGAGCCAGTGAGGTGCAAATATCCATCTGTGGGGACAAAGAATGACTTTCTAGAGAAAGACAGGGCTGCCAGGAGGTTTCTGGCCTGTTTTGCAAAACAAAGAAGCCTAGTTCAAGACTTGCAAAGTCTTATCTGAACCGGGTCTCTCAGAGATTTTGGTTTGACCCAAACCAAGCTGTGTCTGGGGATCACTATCCCACAGAAATGTTGGGGCAGTCCCTTAACAAATTGTGTTGAAGTTCTGCTGGTAGAAAGGGAGAAAAGCGGTCTGGAAGGGTTGGGGAGACACAGAAGTTCTGTTTGTGCTTGGGCCCGACCCTGGAAATGCAGCATCACCAGAGCTGAGCCAGAGGAGGTGGGGAGAGCCCAGCTGAGGCAGCTTCGCTCCCTCCTGGTCACTGCTCCTACAAATCKGGGGGCACTCTGCAGCCCTTTCTGCTGATCTTTTGGGGGGAATGCTGGAAAATGGCTCTGCTGTAGGGAATCTGTCCTTGAAGGGCTCAGGAGGTCAGGCTGGAGCTGGGGGGTTTGTGTTGATGCCAGCACAGTCCGCGCTCCTGCGGGATCTCAGCTGAAGTTGCCCCATTTGCTGAGGGGCCCCTGGAGCCCYCTCAGAACAGGGTTTTGGGGAGAATTCCATAAACCAGGCACTCGCCTTTCTCCTCCCCACTTTCTCTCTAGGTRGGGAATGACTAGAGCTTTTATCCCCTCGTCCTAGGAGAATTTGTACCTCGTGAGAGGCTCCTGCAGTCAGAATGAAGCTGTGCTCTCTCTGCACCTCCCCTSCTTTTCATTTCCCCACTGCTGAGGTGCAGCAGACTTGGCCATTCCCAAACAGTGACCGATTGTCTGGTTTGGCTGGTTCAGCTGTTTGCTAAACATAATGCTCTTTCATCTTCCAGGAARTCGTCTGGACACCTCCACCGGAGTGCAGCCTGCTTTATGCTGCTGTTTCAATAGGCAAATAAAAGCAGCTATTTTCCCAGTTTAAACACAACCTGATTTCTCTCAGTGAATTGGAAATACTCGAGGGAAGGGGAAAAGTTGTTTATTGCTGAATTTTCAAGAACTGTAATCCTGAATTAACAAACCAACCAGCTCTTTTCCTTCCTGGGGAAGGGATTCTCCTTCTCCCCTTTAAGAATATCCACAGCACTTGCACTTCATCATTTTCATCAGGACCTAAGGGCACCCACCAGGGTCCTCTCACACCATCTGTGTGATGTATGACTTTCCTCATTGCTCCCTGGCAATTGGCTGAGGTTTGAGATTTCTTTTTGCAGGCAGCAGAATAAAAACGTTACAAAATGAAAACCTTTACTGGTGTTTCAGCAGTGAGAGGAGAGACTGTCACCTGTCAGCTCAGGATCAGGGGCTCCAAAAGGCAGCCTTGCCCATTTTCCTYGGTTTCCTGAGATGACAGGAAGGAAAGCACAGGCATCTGGCAGTGCTTCAGGGGGCAGAGGTTTAGGAAAAAGGCACAACTCAGGACTGACTCCAGGCCAAAGCCTGGCTGGCTGCTGAGCGGTGTTTGAGGACAAACTCACACTCCTGAAAAATAATTACAGAAACAAATAACAACCAAACCCACTGGGTTTGTAATGCTGCAAATGATGCAATTCAGCTTTCTTCTCTGACTCTGGTAATCAAGGATTTCACCAAAAGCAAAAGGACCAGGGAGAAACACACCCCGACTTCTTCCTCCGGGGAGTGAGTCAAGTTCCTTGCATGCAATTCCATTACAAGGAACTCGASGAGTCTGGCCAGCCACTGGGTTCAACAGGAAAGCTGAGGACAAGCTTTTGTGAGCCCGCTGAGGGGTGCCTGTGCCGGATGGGAGGGAACAAACAGCCCTTTCTGTTTTGCAGTTCATGACCAAGAACCCCGCGATGCGGCTGGGCAGCGCCGGGCTGGGCGGCGAGAGCGCGATCCTGCGGCATCCCTACTTCAAGGATCTGGACTGGGACCTGCTCAACCAGCGGCAGATGGAGCCCCCCTTCAGGCCCAGGATTGTACGTGGGGAGGAGGGAATGGGGAATGGGGTTCTGGGGGTGTTTCCCCCCTTTTTGGCTTGGTATTAGGAGATTTATTCCCCTGAGACAGGAAGGAGGTGAAAGGAAAGAAGTGGGGCCTCTGGTTGTGGCTGCTGGTTGGTCACCTGGTTAGCCACCTCCTGTCCCCTCCACTCTGGGTTTTCAAAGACAGCTCAGTGAAAAGATGCAGGTTTGTGAAAGCAAACAGCAGGTTAAAGAACCTGACACCCTTTGCCCTGCCCCAAAGATAAAACAGTGAGTAATTGTCATCCTGCTCTCTCCACCTGCCCATTCACAGCAGGGCTGATTCCCTCGTGTCTCTGTGTGTGTTCAGCACCCAGCACAGTGCTCCCTGCTCAGGCCACTGTCAGTGAGTGYTTCAAATGCCTGCAGAGGACACCGTGCTGCCCCTGTCCCCAGTGGTGCCACACAGCCCTGAGGATGCTCTGTGAGAGAAGAGTGCTGCTCTCCATGCACAACCTTTCCAAAGTGTCTCTGTGGCTTCCCTGTCCTTGCAATTACAGCCTGGAGTGGCTTGTCTCATGCTGTGGTCGCTCTGTGAGCTCTCAGTGACAATGATCCCCCCCCAGTCCTGCTTCCTGAACACTGAGTTCAGGACCAGGCACCTGGGGGAGGTGTGACAGCTCAGAAGGAGAATCCTGAGTTGTCCCTTAACCTGAGTCAAAGGCTGAGGGAGCCTGCTCAGTCTGCCACGAGCTGGGCAGGATCTGGGCATGTTAGACTTCAATGTCAATAAATTTTATTGATTTCAGCATCAATAAAACATCTTGCCCTGGGTGCAGGAAAAACACGCGCCTCACATGTGCCACAAACTCGGCTTGTGCGAGCACGTTGTGAACAGCCCCGCTCTGTGGCACACAGCAAGGAATCCTGGAGCACCTGGAGGCCAGCCATTTGTCTTCCCACTGCCCAGTAATTCATTATTGTGCGAGTTCAGTGGCTGGCACGAAGAGGAGTGTCCTCCACCCCCTCCCCAAAACCCTCTGCAGATAAGGAGGGACTGTGTGGAGTCGGCCAGCTGGTGACTGAGGGAAGGGGCTGATTTTTGTGCCCTGCCCTGCCCTGTCTGGCCAGGGAAGCCCCCAGAGGTGCTGTCACTTAAATCCGAGGGGGTTTTCCCTGTCAGAAACCTGCAGAGGCTKCAAAAGGCTTTGCTCTGTAAGAGGCTCTGTGGGGGCAGCTGCTTCCAGGTCAGCCCCAGAAAAAGCTCTCAGTCAGCTCAGCCTGGGCTGTGGAAGTGATGGTTCAATGCACTCAGATGCAGAGCAGGGACCAAGCAGATAATTYGTGCTTTTGACGTGTCTTCCCTTTGTCTTTTCCATTTGACAGAAATCCAAAGATGACGTGAGCAACTTTGATCCAGATTTTATAAAAGAGGAGCCCATCCTGACCCCCATTGAAGAAGGGATCCTTCCAATGATAAACCAGGACGAATTTAGAAACTTTTCATTCACCAGCCCAGAGCTGCAGCAATAGCTATGGCTCTGGAGAAAGGTTGCTGAGAGGATTGTGAGGAAATTAAAGGAAAGCCAAGTTTACCAGTAATTTCATTCTCAAGGAGTAACAGTGCACTGACTTGCACAGTACAGCAGCACCACTGTCAATGTTACCTTAATGTGAAATCGAAACCCTCCTGTGTTTGTAGGACTTCTGCAGCTCTCGGATCAAATATTGACAGGGGTGGAACAAACATGATCTTGTAAATAGCTGCTGCAGACAGAGCATTGAATGCTGAGCTGGTTGGCTCGGCCTGAATGCCGCCGCTTGCAGCGGATTCGAGGAGTCGGCGTGAGCATGGAACAAGTGTCTTGCAGCCCTGAGCCAAACAGACTTGTCACAATGCTGATTGTTTGCAAGGATCCTTTGAGGAGTCCCAGCACTGTCCAGCGTTTTGGAGACATGATCCAGCATCCCGTGGCCTGACTGAACCAGATGTTCCTACTGACTTTACCTGTTTCCTGCAGTATTTATTTCTTCCAAAGCACAAATGGCTCTCTTTGACACTGTTTGAGTTCCCATGTGAATTATTTCATTGTGCTGACTAGCAGAAGGAAAAAAAAACAAATGCCCTGTGCCCCACACAGATTCTTCCAAATCAAAGGGAAGTCATGTGCTCGTAGTGTTTTACTGTTTGTGCGTGTTGAAAAGTTTTAGTGTTTGCATTCTGTGAAATGCCTTTTTACATCATGCATCTTCAATGCTCCTTTCTTTGCCTCCCAGCTGTTTTCAACTATAATGTAACTTGTTGTACTGTTTATTTAGGCCCATTCTATTTAATTATGTTACACAGAGCCCCTTTTGTGGGTTTAGTGCCTCATTAAAATTTTGATCCGAAGTGGTAGCACTTGAATTATTTGTAGCATTATTGCAATGRGAGCCACAGAGCTGGCAAGCTGCTTGAAAGCAGAGTTGTCAACCAACAGGTAACACAAAARGACAACTTTCCTCCCATGAGAGTGATAAACCTTATCTAAGATGCAGAGTGGCTTGCTTTGGTTTGGATTTAAGGGCTCATTACTCACAGGGCACTTCTTATCGGTTGCATCCTCAAGCCTCTGCCTCAGGCAGGCTGAGATGAATTTTCAGCGCAGATTTTAGAAACCAGATGCTCTGGGGGACAGTTCTGTGCCATCCCTGCTYTCCTGGAAGMTGGATGATTTTTCTGTAGCTCYTTGGCACACCTTTGCACTCCTTGCTGGGCTTGAAGTAGTGTGACAGGTTTATAGCCTCTTCCTCGGGCAGGTATGAATTGCTGGAGAAGGAAAAGGATTTCTACCCTCTTGCAAAACTGGTGATGTTTGTATAGRGCTCCTCACATGCTTTAACTTGAGAGAAGGGTGAGGTGCAGCAGAAAGGGACAGTCCTGCACACCCCTTGTCCCCCTGCAGCTGTGGAGGGGCTGTAGGGGAGCCTTTGGCACAGGAATTGCTCAGGCACAGCCCCCATGACAGCACAGACCCCTGGTCTGCTCTGAGACCAGGTTAGAAATAGGAAATCAGAGCTGAGATCTGCATGCAAGAATTGCTCCTTCCCTCCTCTCCACTTGACTGAGTCCCTTCTGCCTCTAAAACATCGCTGAACTGTCTGAGAGGGGGACAGAGGTTCAGTCACCCTGGGACTCTCCTTGTCTTCCTGTGCTTGAGTGTTCCAGCAGTTGTCCCTCTTTCTCTTCTGTGTCTCCTCTTCCATGCAAGCACAGCTTCATCCTCTGGTCTCCCCTTCCTTCCATGGGCACCTTCTGGCCACATTCCAGCCTGTTCCTTTGCTGGTCTGTAGATACCCAGCTCCTCCAAAGTGGAGCAAGGGAGGAAGAAAGACAGGTTGTTTTGTGAAAACACAAAAGTAGTGAGAAAAAGAGCAGTTTTCCAGAAAAATTACCCAAGAACCACTCGTGAAGGCTGGCTTGAGTTGATTTCACACCCAGGGAGGAACAAGACAGGGATGGACRAAGGGATGGAAGGAACAGGACAGGGATGGATGAAGGGATGGAAGTAACAGGATAGGGATGGATGCATTTGCACGAGGGGGCCACTGTGGCATCTTGTTCACGTGTGAACACTCATGGTGTTCACCTGTCTGGTGCAGACATAATCCAATTCCCACTCAGTTTCCTGGCCTTACAACTGCAGTAACCTCTCTTGGCAAGGAGTAGGTGCAGCTGAGTTGGCCACCCAGAGTGGGAACCCCAAAATGGTGAATTTTGTGTTGGTGGCTCTTTGATCTCCCGCTGTCAAGGATTGTGAGCAGCCTCTCTTTCCTTCCCTGGAGCTCGGTGCTGGAGAACAGCAAATGATACCTTTTTTACCAGCACAGTGGTGTCATCCCAGGGTTTCACTGGTTGTGTTGTTCTTTGGGGCTCTGGAGACCTTACGGAATTGCTCCTGCTGGAGAAGCCACTGCCACAGTGTTGCTTTCAGCCTCAAAATGTGATCCCATCTCCATGGCCCCGGGATCCGAGTGGTTACAGCATGAAGAATGTGCAGTAGTCACCTTTGGAGACCTTTATTGCTGTTAAAATATCACATTTCATGTCAATACCCACCAATCTACTGTCCTGAAAGCTTGGGGAGGGGAAACTAAGTCACCTCTGGAGGTGTTCTGTTAGAATTGTTGTGATCTGCCAACCAGAAACCTTGCAGAYCTCTGCAGGATGTAAGATGGTGTTTTGGGGAGCAGGAAAGTTCCCTCTGTGGCCAGCCAGAACCTGCTGTGKCCCAGGGCTTGTTGGCTTGATGGGACAGGGTTCAAATGACAAAAGGAGTTCCTTCCCCTGTGTCACTGATTTTAAATGACATCAGGGTGACTCCACCCTTCCATCACTTGGTGCAAACTCATGGACAGATCTGTGATTGGACTTGGAAGCCAAAGGTTCTGCTAYATAGCAATTTTCTTGATTTTCACAATTTCCACCTGGATCCTGCTTTATAATTTAGGGCAGCTCTTCCCCTCCGCTGCCTGTCTGGAACTCATCTGTCTGTGTAATGATTTCAGCCACTCGAGTCAGCAGATCCTGACTCAGCCACATYTGGCCAAGATCCCTGAACTCTCCCWTGCTTTTWATGAGGAGCTGCTGTTTCAGTTGTGTTCCCTGAGACTCTTTCAGCAGCGTGGGTGAAGATCAGCTCAATAAAAAKTATCTATGCAATAGCTTTGCTTTTGAAAATGCTGGATTAGGGTTTGTACTGCCATTCAAATATTTAAAGAAATATTGATACATTTTTTTAAAAAAGCAGGGGTACAAAAAATGGAGTTTTCCAGGACCTACCCTGCAAGCTCTTTTGGCTTCGTTGCTTGCCTCAGTGGGTGCAAGATGCTTTTATTCTATTAATTTAGTTCTGGCTTTACAGGCACATTAAGCTGGCAGCCACAAGTTTGTGAGGTTTAAAGCATAAAATGCTCGTATTCGCTGCAGTGTGAAAACTGGCAATTGAGCAAATTGTAATTAGTTCCCTTTGCACTGCTTTTAGTGCTTGCATGAAAAGAGAAGATCCCTTTGATGTCTGTAAATTTGTGTTCGGTGCAGTCCTTTCATTTTCAAAGAGGTTCATGAAATCTAGCTATAAAATTCAGTGGCCTACGTCTCCTCCAAGGCCTTTGAAAGCTGAGGGTAAGGAGCAGWTGGTGTGGGATGAAGAAATGAAAATCATCTCACATCTACTCATGCTGGCTGTGCTGCCAAAGACATCATTTTTAATACCGCTGCTTGATAGGCAATGGAAAAAATCTCACAGACTTCCAGTGCCCGAGGGATTTGAAAGTAAAAAAATTCAATTCTGACTCTGGCTGAGGATGCTTTGAATGCATTCTCAAGGACTGGCACAGGTTCCTCACTCCTTGTGTAGTCCTGAATGGTTTGCAGCAGTTTTCCCCTTGGAGCTGYGTGCTCCTCCTACAGAAGCTGCTCTTTCTCCAGCTGGGTTTGAGAGAGGCTGTGCTGTGGCAATGGGCTCGATCAGCAATGCCCAGAGCTGGGAGCAGTGAAGAGGAAAATGTCTGGGATCATCTGCTCTGTCCCTTGGCCAGAAAGGGAAGAGCTGTTCTCTGCTGCCTGCTCTCCCTCCGTTTGCTTAGCTGCTCAAGCGTGCAGCCAGAAGGTTTCTGCTCCTCTCCAGGGACACCATTTCACAGCTTTTACAACTCTTCCCGCTAAGTAAATGCCCTGATATTTGGAAATGACGTGGATGAGATGAAAATCTGTCTTATCATGCCATTAGGATCCTCATTGGAAGCTGCAAGTCAGGGTTTGTATTACTAAATATATTCAGGGCTGCCAAGCCAAAGCATTCAGAAATGATGAGTCAGGTTGTCTGAAAATTGTGGCTCACTCAGGAATCAAGAGCTTTCAGAAATAATAAATGTCTAAGTCCTTTTCTATCTTTCTTTTTTCCTTTTTTATTTTTTWAAAARCATCTGTATTATGAGTATTTTGGATCCTGACTTGCGCTTCTCCACATCAATAGGAGCTGGAATGCCRTGTAATTATAATTATTTTTAAGATGAAAGCTGGGGTCTGTGAATTGATGTGAAGCCAGGCATTGGAGCAGGGAGAAAAATGCCAAACACCAAGAGGTGGGTGCTAAAACTGTGAGCAGGCATGGGGTTTATGTATTTTTCCATCTCTTCATACTGTTTATTTACAGTCACCACAGTGCTGTTCTTTGCCTCCTTGTCTCCAAACCCACAGAGCAGGGCACAGAGGAGGCAGGGAGTGAGGAAGGAGGAGAGGAAGGCTGGGGAAGGCATTTATTTGCTGGGTAGTCACTGTGTGAGGCTCGTCCAGCAGCATTTCTGAGCTTGTGCATCAGCCCTTGCACAAGCCTGTCACCTTSTGCATCCCACAGTGCCYRTCCTGCCTTCCCCTGGGCACRGMRCTTGGTRCCATCCCTCAGGCTGCTGGAAGTGTCCTTCTGGTGGAGCCAGGCCTGAAGGAAGAGCAGGAGGTCAAAGAGTGTGGGGGAAAGGGAGTGGTGTTGGTGTTTGGCAAACTTGTCCTCAAGAAATGGGGTCACAGCTCTGAGCTGTGACAGAGAGGATGCACTGTGTTTTAGAAATGCCTCAGGCCATGAAGGCATGTGASAATCATCATCATTATCATCATCATCACCATCATCTCTGTCCCATCCACACTGGGGAAGACCCTCCATGAGAGCAGTTTGGAAGACCCTCCATGAGGGCATGGAGTTTGATGAGGRAGATTTGGGGACCACAGTTCTCAGCGATGTGGGAGTTAGAAGACATTGTGGCAGAAGGCTGCCAAGCAGAATTGCCAAGGAACATCCCCAAACCCTTTCATCCCAAGAAGGAAGCTTGAAACAAGCTTGGGTCAGACAAATACAGAGCCTTCCCTGAGTGGGCTCCCCCATGTAACATGTCAATGTCAAGGTTTTAGCCCTGGAACAGTTTTAACTTGCCTGTGGTGTCAGTTCTGCCCCAGCTCTGAGCTCCCAGGTCTTTTGTTGGCAGCAGCTCTTGTAAAAGTGGAGTTGAGAGGTTTTAGCAGCGAGTTCAGGATTGCTCAAAACCGGTGACTCAGTTCCTCCAGTGCCTCCTCCCCCCTCCTTCAAATGAGGGGTTTRTTCATCACCTGGTTTCTCATTTCCAACCATTTAATGTGGACTGGGGTCAGGGCCTCAGTTTTTTCTACAACAGTGACAACTCTAACTGCATTTTTTCTTCAATGGAACCTCACTTGATTCCAGGAACAAGATCTTCAGATCTCCAAACCACTGCAATGACTTCACCACAATAACCACCACATCTGCCAGGAGAAGAACATTGCAGGAGCTSTTAATGAGCCCTTTTTGGAGACTGGCCAAGGTGTGCTGTAGTTCAGCTGAGAAG